TACTTTATAAAATAATATAAACATTATTTTTAAACTCCCCATTTACCTTTTCAAGAAAAGATCAAAGTAAATGATAGAGATAATGAAAGAATGAATGAATGTTGAAAGTGACGAGACATTTTGTATATACATAATGTTTTGAAACACCCTGTATACTATAATACTGTGTTCACGAGAGAACGTTGAAATATGCAATGGAGATAGAATAGAAGGATGAACGGTTTCAGTACAAGGAGAGGCTTAGAATTCCAAAGTATGGACACCATAAGCAGCAAACGAGTGTGGAAATTAATCTGAAACACCTTGTACACGCAAATGAACAAAGAAGCAAGGAAATTAGTTATAACCTGAAAGAAATTCACAAAGGCTATGTATACGTATATAAATAAAATGCACCATACAATTATTAATTTTTACTGTGTTATATGAAAATTTTATCGGTTCGCTACAGTCTAGATCGAAGGATGTCGTTTTCGATACTTACCTACGATTGATTGAAGGCTTTGAGCTGACGTTTGGGAATGACCCATCGATGAGAGTGCCATGCTCCAGCGTCGAATCGTTTCTCTGGGCGGCGGATGTTCTTTTGTTAAAAGTTCATTAAGCTTTGGCAAAGTTTGATAGGTTTCCCTTAAAAATGCTGTCACTTCCAAAAGTAGAATGCAGGCAACGAGACGTAGCGCGACGGGGCACTGAGATCCGTAACCGTTTATACTGGCTAACAATACAATTTCTCGTTAATAGCTAAATCTTCGACAACATAATTTCAAATTGTTGATAAAAGAAGGAACTTCTTTTTAATGATCTGATAAAATTAGAATTTTTTCATCACGCCGACAAACTTTATTCCACGCTACTGATTTATTGCTATTGTGATTCTGCAAATAATTAAAATTTATTCGATAATGTCTTTACCTTCATCAAGGAAATCCTCTTCTTCGTCTTCAATAATTAAATCTCTCTGCTTACTTTCGTCGGAAACCATTGCTGCTATTTGATCCATATTCTGCTTATCCTCTACCAACAGTTCTTCTAAACGTGTGCCAATGGCCTATTCAATTAATTCGTTGATGTAAGTGTTTACAAAAGTCAACTACGGTAAGATCAACGGAAGAATCAGCCTAAAACTTGTTGTTTCACAAGTCATATTGTTATTACGAGTACCAATTAACATCATAAACTCTACGAAGCTGTCCTTATCTTTACCATTCATTTTGTATAATATTTTTTTGAAGAAGGAACCACCCCCTAATTTGTTTACAGAAAATGATTAATATAAATTTTCAATTTCAAGAAGTACCAAAAAGTGATCATTATTTCATGAAAAATCAGAGATTACGTTTAAGTTTTTCAATATTAAAAACAATCGGCGTTAAACTAGACGGTGACTATTGTATAGTTTCAGATTACTGAGTAATTCTTTCGTTGTCGCAATTGTGAAAAATAGCGGTGCTACATATTACCTCTGCCCATTGATAAAATAATTTTCCAGCAGTACGCTGGGTTACGTGAATTCTGGTTAGCACCGTGGACGTATTTTGGCTACTGATTGGCACCGACGGACGAAACACAGGGAAATTTGATTTCATCCATGTTGGCCATTGTCCTTTATTGCAAAGGTGAACAAAATGTGCACACTCTAACAGTAAACTTGCACGCGCCACTACCGGTGCGTATGGCTAGAAAATAACGTACACAACAATTTATACATATGTCATGAACCACTTTAAAAAGAGAACCATTTAAACCATTTCACATAAACGTCTTCGGATTTGACCGAAGCGTTATGAAATTGATTTAGTATCATGTAAGAGTAGATGTAAAATGTTTTTACAAGATCTAAAATGGCCGCCATTAGATAGTGATCGGGAACCGAACCCGGTTGGCAAGTCTCTAGTAGGAATGAAAATCTTTGCATTCCATCGTAGACAGCATTCCGAGGTACAAGTCTCCTTTCTTTCAAGATTACGAATTCAGACTCCCTCGAAGCTTCGCCCGATTCCAAAGAATTTCTTCTACTGAAATCTATGTACACTTAAATTAGAACCCAAGGTACGTCATTTGATACGTGCATCAGTAAATAAACTGTACAGGTTGAGCAACGTAACTTGATTATTTTGAACGTTTGACTTGTGTCTTTCGTGATAGGACGAAATATTGTCATAGGATCAAATGTTGATATTAAAAACAAGTGAATCAGTAAAGTTACGATGTTTGTTCTGCACATTAGGATGAAGGGAAATTTTTGTATTTGCCGGGGAATGGTATTTTAATATTATACTATGTAATTTATATATATATAGAGAGAGTTGGTAATTTCGTTAATCCTACGACTTCATCTGTTATAAGGGTAAGATACAGAAGCAAAAACTTTCCCTTCGAGGTAATCTGATTAATTTTTTCACTTACAGCTTCCAGGTGCCTCTTCCAAGCTTTCTTTCTTCTTGCTTTTTCTAAAGCCGATTTTCGTCAGAGGATTTTTCATTCGACGTATCGCTTTTTGGAATGTTAAACCGACACTTGAATATAAGCAATATAAAATTATTATTATTAAAAGCGATTTCACGTAACTACTCGAAAGGATAGCTAATTTCAAGCTTAATAGAAAATATTCAAGGAAGAAAAATATTCGAACATGTATCATTAAGATTACTTACATGTTGACAAAGTTATTCTATATTAAAGTTAAATGTTCATTCCTTACTCAATCGATATCGTTCGAAATATAAAATTGTAAACGTGAATATTTGATTATTTGTTGCGTGTATTATTGGAAAGTGTTTGAATATGTCGAGCGTACTTATCGAATGTGTGCGAATGTCTATTAGTGTGAACAATTTTCAGCTTGAATAAACTATTGTCTTTATATTTCGGAAACGTTGCAATTGATCATTTAATTTGTATTTGTTATAGTTTTGTATTGAATATTACAAAGCTTGTCGTTACAAACAAACTTACCTATGACCCGAGCCAGATGAGCTACGATAGTGACCATAATGAAAACTGGACTGTCTGACAAAACTGCCGTCTGTTGGCGATTCACTGCTTTCGTGACTGTCAGTGGAGTCAGTCCTACCGTTTTCCTTTCGAAAGCAATTAACTAAAATTGAAGTAGGAAATGAAGACAAGCTTTTGTAGCTTCAATTTGTAATTATCAGACTGCTGATTCTAGGCATTTATGGTAAAATCTACCAGGTCAAATATCAAATAATGAAGACATTAGACGAAGTTAGAAATTGTTGAAATTATTAAAAGAAGAAATGTATTTTTTAACTCTTGCTTCTTACAATTGATTTGAAAAGTTTTCTTTTGCCTAGAGATCCATAATCTAGTAGTTATCATGTGTTATTAATACGTACCCATACCACCAATCTGAAATCGAGTCGATTTAAGCCGACCTTTTCCAGAGCTTAAAGACTCTATTCCCAAATTCCGTTCGCTTTGTCTCGGAGTAAGTATGTAATGCTTTTTCCTTAAATTCACTAAAGGACTCTGACTGACTTTTGCGTTCTCTTCACTCAGTTCTGTTTCTAGAAGACTCTAAAAAGTAAAGTAAAAATTATGACAGTTTTTATGGGCATACACTTGCCTCTGTATTCATTGGTACACACCGCGCATGTCGAAGATGTGCTCCTTTTCTTGAAAAGAAATTTTCGAGTTCCTCTGTCGTCTACAGCGTAACAAGTATCGTCACCAATGTCACCGTGTTCATCGAAATCTGATTGGTGAATATGCCTAAAATAATTATAATCCTCTTTGTAACGAACCCACCTTTGGTTACGTGCACTAAATAACAAATAAATAAATGTTAACACTACAGAGCGAGTCGCTTAAATAATTGTCTCACTTCCAATTATGAATATTATTTCGATTTTAAGAAAACATGTTACTTGTTTGATCGAAAAAATACCGAATAAGCGAAAGTAATTTTATACAAATAATTTCTAAGAATACAGATATCACTACATGCTTCAAAATATATGAACGTAGAATGTGACTTATTTTCACAGTAATTTACGTTCTTTGCATAAATGAAAATTTGCATTGTGTACACTAGAGAAATAAGAATGAACACAGAGTAATACATTTAATATGACTTTTACGTCTGAGATTGGTAACTTTTTTAACGTTAAAGTTATCAAATGATGATGACTTTACAAATGTGATTGCTTCATTTAATTCAAACAACACAATTTCATCAGGTTAAAATCGATGAGGATACAATTATGTTCGTTTATTCGGTGCGTTCTTTGAGTTCATCATTTTGACAAAACTCTTTATAAGGTATAGATTGTAAGTATTTATGCAAACATAACTTGTACAAACTGATATTAAATTTCTACTGAATCATATGTTCAGTAAAGTTCACTACATTTTAGCATCATCAAAATATAATAGTTTTTAATAGCGTTTGGTACATGCTGTAGATGCGTAAACTTCACATTCCAATTAACAGACAGAAATGCGTTTGTAAAATATTCACCTGATAACACGAGTTGTCTGAAGGTTACTGTTACATTCTTTGTTAGGTCGATCCGCGGCGTCAATGATTCCGCTCAGGATGACGCGACGGAATGTGCCGCAATGAACTTCCTTGACGTAAGCCATGAATTGCCGGAGATCGCAATATAAACCGATGTTGTCTTGACTCTTCAACTCCTTCAGCGATTTAACGAAACGCGACACCAAAGGCTTGAAAACGCAATTGAAAATGTGACCTTCTATCACACGCGTACTATGCCCCCCAAGACTATAGGAAGCGGCAATGTTCGTTGAAGTCCCAGTGGTCATAGTTCCTTGGCCGCTTATGGTCGTATTCGCGAACATTCCGGTTCCCATCAAATTAACCCCATAGCTGGCTAAGTATCCAGTTTGCGAGGCAACTTCCGGCGACTTGCTCGAACCCCGTTTTTGATCTATCGTGGGATAATCAAAGGGAAGTTGTTGAAATCTGTAGAGATCGGAAGTCAAGGGCAACGAAGCATCTGCGATGTAAATGTTAACGCATCGGGTAGTCAGAATTTGGACAACGAAGTAATTTGGACAACAATGCTCATTCAGAGAAGATGCGTCGTGACCAATGGTGGTTATAATCAAATTGTAAATGATACGATTAGAATTATAGTCTGTCTTTTTGAATGAAGACTCCTGAAATGATAATGGAGCCGATTACTATGGGGTGACCAATTGCTGTGACTTTGGTTTGTTTTCGGACATAAGTAATATTATATTTATCGAATAAGACATATTAAATCCGTTTATTTAAAAATGAACAAAATAAAAGAATAACACAAAATTTAATATGTCTTATTCGATAAATATAAATTTAATTATGCTCGAAAAAGCAAATTTATTTTCCTTATTTTTAATATAAATAAATATAAAGTCAATTATGTCCAAAAACAAACCAAAACCACAGCAATTGGTCAGCCCTACAGTAATCGGCTCCACTATCCTCTGCGACATAGGAATGTGGTCATGTTATCCCTCAAAATTGGTATTTAAGGTGCGAGGGACTATGATAATCGAAACATATACAAATTTCGCCATTACGATGTAGTAATGACGTCAAGAAACTTTTACTTTTTTCTTTGAACTCACTGAATTATATGCAGTCAGTGTACAAAGTATTCGTACACTGAATTTCAGATTTAACAAATTTTTACCAACTTAAAAAATGTGTATTTACGGAGACTCCGCGGTCTTAGACGCTATAACTGTCTACTGTGCACCTATTATTTCTGGTTTGAAACATGGAAGCGCTGTGAATAGCTTTATGACTTCAGGTGTCCTCTTTCTTAAAAAATAGACGTTGCTGTATCAACGAGAACACACAGTAGCTTGAGGCGAACAAATACACACGGAGCGATTTTCGTTTCCCTCGATTTACTCACTGAGTGGCGATAGAAACGAACATGGATCCACGCAGAATCCAGTAAATGCGTGGAAGAATTCCAAAATTTCCGGTATCGGTAGATCCCGCACCATTGCTCTCAGGAATCGCGAAAACTGCTTCGAACTGGCCCGATGCAGTTTGCCGAGAATCGATTGAGCCTGCGAACGACAGAAATCCGCATGGGGGCCGCGTATTCCTTCGACACAGGTGTGCGGACAGCCTAAGTGTTTCACTACTCTGATCACGCAACTCATAAGAAGACTGTGCGACAACGATTTCGTTTTGCTTGTCCCATTGTTTCGATACTCTTGCTCGTTTTCCGACGGCTCCTTTTTCTTTCCGCTTTCTGACTTTTCGAGCACTGTCGCTGATTCTACAAATAACGAAATTCGGCGTTCAATGCTGGATCAGTTGAATTGTCTTCGTTGTTTATCACTAGACTGCGGAGTTTTATGCAAAATAAAGATAGTCTTCATTAATTGCAAGATACATATATGCTATAGAGATATTTCTTTTTTTTATTTTTTATTACAATTAAATCGGTTGCTAATAATACACCAGCATTTTCAAATTCTTGAAATCTTTTAAAAATTTGATATTTGATCTAATCATTTTCGTTATAAATGCATAAAATTCACAGTCCAATGATCACATTTTCAAGTGTGTTATGTGATTTTTCAATAGAATCTTTATGTAGAAATGTGTTTTGTGAAACCAAAAAGACGGTTTATTTCGTTTACCGGTGATTTGGAAATTATTAAATAAATTTCAATTAAAAACATATTAGTTTAATGTACTAAATTATTAATTTCTAACTAAATAGAACGATGTAGGATGTTCGTAAAAAGCAAACAATATTTTACAATTAAAAATATTAAAATTTATAATTCTAAGTTTACGTAAATGTATTCGTCTGTTTATTAAAAATAAGTCTTTTTATACAAAAATAATTATTTCGATCTGTTTCTGAGCCGAAATGTGTCAAATACTTGAATAATCCTCTTAGCATTTGTTTAGTCTATTCAATAAAACACTTTTTACTGGGAATATAATAATAATGATTTTTAGTAATACGTACCCGCTATACTTCCAGCCATTTCTTCACGAAGACATTGTTTCATGACTCCCATATCCATTAAAAGTTCCACCAAATTTAAGATGTTCTCGCATACCCGCAAAGTACAGCAATTGCTATCCCTCATAGCAACTGAACGGACAGCCTGATAGGGGATTCGACAAATTATTAATCTAAATAATAGCATAGAAATATTAAATATTCTTTATAAAAGGCGAACGTACCTTCAGAACGACTTGTAGATCAATATCGCCTTCCTTAGTAATGTAACAGGAAGACCCTGGCGCTTCCGGAAACTCGTCGCTGCCATAAGTGATATTAGAGTCTGTCTGCGATCGTGTAAGGCTAGGTTTCCTTTCAGAATCTAAACGACTACCGCGCATACTGATAACGTCTAATTGACTGTCGATCGAAGCCTAGAAAGAAAATTGTACTAAATCAGACACATATCTCGTTAAAAACAAGTAGGCGACACAGTACGTTTGACATGGGAATGTACACATATGACGCTGAGAAAGTTTTGTTCAATTTGTTTCCTAGATAAGTTCGTAAGGTGTCTAATTAAAGGAACATTCTAAAAGCAGCTTGCCGTCCGAAGTTAGACACCAAACTTCTATTTCAATATTTTATGCAACAGGATCCTTGTGTATATTTTTGTTAAATATAATGTTGTTTGGCATTTGAAATGAAAGTATTTTATAGCATGTCTATATATTCGACGACTATATTAAGCATTCGTAATAATTTCAAAGTATCACAGCTGCAAGTAAACAGACAATAGTTGTTCAAAATCAGACATACACTTTCATATTTAATATTTTACTTATTCAAATATACTTTCCAGCATCTACCTAGGATTTTTGTATTTTTAATTTCTACTCTTGGACACACTTCCTTTTTTAGTGTAAATATAGCATGAGTCCAATCGTCTTTTAGTGATTGCTGAATCAAAATTCTCCGCTCGTTCAATCAATCTTAAAAAGTCAACATTTGAGAAGCTTGCTGTGTGTACAGTGTAGATGTGTTTATATTTGATTCATGAAATATTATGAGAAAGTGTTTTCTTTTATGATGTGGCGTCCATTAGTTTCTTCTTATTTGTTAGTAATATCGAAAATGATCGTCAAATAACGACATCGTGTCTAAAATAATCATCGAGTATTGAAACGGTATCTAAATAATCGATTAAAAAAGTCTTTAATCCCAGAATTTACCATAAACCAATATGGTATGAACAAAAAGTGCAATAGCCCTTTCTCAATGCCTAGCTAATTGGTATCGTATTATGAACGTAATGAATTAATTGTTCCATATTTTTTCAGAACATGTCAGTGATGTTCGTGAGCGAGACTCTTCACGTGGCAAGTTCTTCCTCTACGTGGTTCGGTTTTGACGACATTAATTAACGCACGACAATTCACAAATGCAAGCTGGATGCATACAAACGAGTTTGCAAGTTTTCATATAAACCTACAGCATTTAATTTATTAAAAATATACGTCCACATTGTACCCTCGAAACAGCTGGGTAAAACGTGAACATGTAAATATTAAAATTTGAGAAAGCAAATCGAAGTGTTCAGAAATTGCACTTAAGGCGACACGAGATTCAAACGCATATTGTTATGTTAAACTTCAAATGATACCCTAACTATATCAGAATCATGTACTGATTTATTCAGTACTTACTGACATTTGCATGTCTTCATCTATTCCAATTACACAGCAAAACTTTCCTAGCATCGTGGAAGATCGTGTGCGGTCGTTTACCATTGAAACAAAAGACAATAACGAAAATAACAGTGTAGTATCGGGAATCTGGGGCTTAATGTAATTTGTACGTTTCCTACCTGTCGCTTCATATAATCCGGGGATGGAGTGGGTGTGTGTTCCGTGACGGTGATGATAGGATTCGGGGCGGTGTATGATTGACTATAAAATCGACTTTGCTTCCTCTCAATACGAGTATCGCCGATGTACCTACAAGTTAGAATTCATCAGAGACCTGACAAAATAGATTCAGCCGGATCAACTCTCCCATGCTACTTCCAATGTGAGTCCTAGCTAAGCACTACTGTTTCAGCTCTAAGGTCCTTGTCTACTTTGGTGCGTTTGCCATACCATGTAGCATGCTCGATGCGATCATCAAACAGCATCTCACTACACACGTTATCCCAAATTCTATATTCTCCGAGGATTCGTACTATTATTTATCACTCGACGATACGATATACATATACAATATACCCTAATTTGCGCACAAAGATGGACAATTTGAGAAGAGGAGATACGATAATTCGAGCCTTGTGTCTTCATAGTTTTTATAGTTGTTGCCAATCGGTAACTATAAAAACGAGCCGCGAGCTCGAATAATCGTATTTCCCCTTCGCAAATTATCGTAACGTGAATGAAATAAGGTCGAATTTTTGACACGATCTGAACGATCTTTTAGAAAATGGAATCTTTGATATCCAAGCATAATCATGTATAGTGAAATTGCTAAGATTTGTTGTTATTTATTTGGGAAGATTGTTCTATTTAGACAACTTTAGGATGTTTTTCAACACTTGTCAGTCACCACTCGAAATTGTTGCGTTGATCTATGCTAATCAATGTTCATTTCTTGATCATATTATTTATAGAAAAAATTTATTTGTTTATGAAGTATTTCATCAAAATNGTGAATGAAATAAGGTCGAATTTTTGACACGATCTGAACGATCTTTTAGAAAATGGAATCTTTGATATCCAAGCATAATCATGTATAGTGAAATTGCTAAGATTTGTTGTTATTTATTTGGGAAGATTGTTCTATTTAGACAACTTTAGGATGTTTTTCAACACTTGTCAGTCACCACTCGAAATTGTTGCGTTGATCTATGCTAATCAATGTTCATTTCTTGATCATATTATTTATAGAAAAAATTTATTTGTTTATGAAGTATTTCATCAAAATNATTGTTATGTTAAACTTCAAATGATACCCTAACTATATCAGAATCATGTACTGATTTATTCAGTACTTACTGACATTTGCATGTCTTCATCTATTCCAATTACACAGCAAAACTTTCCTAGCATCGTGGAAGATCGTGTGCGGTCGTTTACCATTGAAACAAAAGACAATAACGAAAATAACAGTGTAGTATCGGGAATCTGGGGCTTAATGTAATTTGTACGTTTCCTACCTGTCGCTTCATATAATCCGGGGATGGAGTGGGTGTGTGTTCCGTGACGGTGATGATAGGATTCGGGGCGGTGTATGATTGACTATAAAATCGACTTTGCTTCCTCTCAATACGAGTATCGCCGATGTACCTACAAGTTAGAATTCATCAGAGACCTGACAAAATAGATTCAGCCGGATCAACTCTCCCATGCTACTTCCAATGTGAGTCCTAGCTAAGCACTACTGTTTCAGCTCTAAGGTCCTTGTCTACTTTGGTGCGTTTGCCATACCATGTAGCATGCTCGATGCGATCATCAAACAGCATCTCACTACACACGTTATCCCAAATTCTATATTCTCCGAGGATTCGTACTATTATTTATCACTCGACGATACGATATACATATACAATATACCCTAATTTGCGCACAAAGATGGACAATTTGAGAAGAGGAGATACGATAATTCGAGCCTTGTGTCTTCATAGTTTTTATAGTTGTTGCCAATCGGTAACTATAAAAACGAGCCGCGAGCTCGAATAATCGTATTTCCCCTTCGCAAATTATCGTAACGTGAATGAAATAAGGTCGAATTTTTGACACGATCTGAACGATCTTTTAGAAAATGGAATCTTTGATATCCAAGCATAATCATGTATAGTGAAATTGCTAAGATTTGTTGTTATTTATTTGGGAAGATTGTTCTATTTAGACAACTTTAGGATGTTTTTCAACACTTGTCAGTCACCACTCGAAATTGTTGCGTTGATCTATGCTAATCAATGTTCATTTCTTGATCATATTATTTATAGAAAAAATTTATTTGTTTATGAAGTATTTCATCAAAAT